CTTTTAAATATGTTAAAAACAATAGAAAGGAAGAAAAAAACACTTATGTCCCTATCTTGGGGTTCATTTCACTGAATATCATCTTATATGTTCATATATACATAGTTTTTGAACTTTTCTGCTTGTCTCAGACATATACTAGTTATGACAAATAAGGGAAACCATAGGACCTATGTCTTCTTTATTTAGTTTATGAATTTCAGTAATAGGTTTGAATTTACATTGCTGAGTAAAATTTTGACCCTTATTGTGTGATATGAAGTTGTAGGGATAACATAGATTTTAGTGTTTTTGCCTAATAATTTGTATTCCTTGCTAATTTCTTCTTAGTTGGGATACCAGTAAACTTACACAACACTTGTTTTTTTTCTGTTAAATGAAGAAAGAAAAAGAATGTACCTGTGGATGGACTGATGTGTTGAAGAAAGAATGGATGGATACCAGGCAACCAGAAAGTTAATAGCACAAAAAAAGATAGCTCTTGGATAAATAGAATGACAGAAGAAAGAAGAATGAAAGAAGAAAAATGTAGAAAAATGAAATTTTTTCCTTTTGTATTACAAATTTTATTCCTAGGAAGCAGGATAGATTTGGACCCAATCTTCCTGGTGTCTGTGTGTGTGTGTGTGTGTGTGTGTGTGTGTGTGTGTATGTGTTGTTTGTGTATGTGTTATGTGGTATTGGGAATAATATGGTGTATGTTTTATCTGACTTTTTGTTGCTTTCAATGGGTTTAAATATATTCTGTCAATTATTAGGGAGTTCCATACACATGAATGAAAAGAAAATAATGGAGGCTATGAAGATCAGTTAAATTTTTAGAGGAAATAGAAAAGTAATTGGCAAAGGCTCATTCGGTCAAAAGATGTTAGGTGCCCATATAAAACTAACATAATATAATCTAGCTTACCTATATGAACAAGTACAAATTTAAAATAATACAAAACATAAAATTTAAAAATCAATCTAATTCGAGTTGGAAAAATACCATCTCTCTTCTCTTTTTGGAGCAAACTTTTTTTTTATTGTCAAGGTGATGTACAGGGGGTTACAGTTACATAGTAAGAAAATAAGTATGTTTCTTACCAAATGTGTTACCCCTTCCCTCATTTTTCTCCGTCTCCTACTTTCCCTCTCCCCTTTGCATTGGTCCCTCCCTTGTCCTTTGTCTCATAATTCTGTTGTTCCCTTCCCTAACTCAAATATATGTATATACAATACCAGAGTACCAAAATTAAATACAGAGAAAACAGTGCATATTCCATAGGGAGAAGAACATACAAAAGAAACAAAAAATTACATAATACATTAAAAAACAACAACAAAGAAAAACCTCTTGTGTCCATGTCTTAGAATTCATTTAGCATAGCATCAACTTATATGGTAATAGAATCAACTCCAAATGGATCAAAGACCTTGAAGTCAAAGCAGACACTCTGAAAACATTACAGCATGGAATAGGAGAAACCCTAGGTCTCCTTGGCTCAGGCCAAAATTTCTTGAATAGAGACCCGGAAACACAACAAATCAAAGAAAGGTTGGACAAATGGGACTGCATAAAGTTGCAGAGCTTCTGCAGGGCAAATGACATAGCTAGCAAGATCAACAGAAAGCCCACGGATTGGGAGAAGATCTTTACTAGCCATACAACAGACAAGGGTCTCATATCTAAAATATACTTGGAACTCAAAAAATTAAACCCCCCAACAACAAATCCTCAAAGAAACAACTGCCCAATAAATAAGTGGGCGAAAGACTTAAAGAGAAAATTCTCTGAAGAAGAAAGAAGGATGGCCAATAGACACATGAAGAAATGTTCAACATCCCTAGCCATAAAAGAAATGCAAATCAAAACAACATTGAGATACCACCTCACTCCAGTTAGAACGGCAAAAATCAAGAACTCTAACAACAACAGATGCTGGAGGGGATGTGGACAAAAAGGAACCTTACTTCATTGTTGGTGGGAATGTAAACTTGTTCAACCACTTTGGAAAGCAGTATGGAGGTTCCTCAAAAGACTTCACACAGAGCTCCCCTATGACCCAGCAATCCCACTTTTGGGCATTTACCCAAATGTTTACAAACAAGACCACACTAAAGCTACCAGCACAACTATGTTCATTGCAGCATTATTTACCATAGCTAAGATATGGAACCAACCCAGATGCCCCTCAGTAGATGAATGGATCCAGAAAATGTGGTATATATACACAATGGAATTCTATGCCTCCATCAGAAAGAATGACATTGCCACATTTGTTAGGAAATGGAAAAACTTGGAAAAAATTATATTAAGTGAAGTAAGCCAGGCCCAAAGAAACATAGGTCCCATGGTTTCCCTTATTTGCAATATCTAGTATATGTATGAGTCAAGCAGAAAAAGTCAGATAATGTGATGTCATGAAAATGAACCCTTAGATATGTATTTTAATGTTTTATTCAAACACATTTTATGACAATGTTTCATAACTTGTCACACATCCTTTTTTCTCTCCCTTATTTCTAATTTCTTCTGCTTATTTTCACCTTTCTCAAGTACCCAGGAACAAGCCACTGGTCATTCACTTGCTTTGAACTCTTGAATGGAATTTTCTGTCAAAGATGAAACTCTATCACTTGAGCTTTTCATATCTGCTCTTATCTTTTTGTTGGTTAACCTGAGATAAAGAGTGTCAGGGACTTTCTGCAGCAGGTGGCTTTGATGCAGGGTCTTGGCTCTCAACTTCTGTTCAGTACAGCTTGGATTACAGGCATAAGTGACTAGTTAAGTTATTTTTCATTTTTTGAAGACTCTCCAGTCTTTAATTTTTATATATAATCCCCAAAACTACAATTTCTTTCAGGGTTGATGGGTAACAGTGGGTGTCCTGATTGTGGAAATTGTTGAAAATTTTTTTCCGTACTGATTTCCATTCATACAATTTTTGAAGCAATTGATTGCATTTTTAACTGCTATTTAAGTTTTAGAATTGTTTTCCACTATGCTATCTGTCCTCTGTGAGATAAATAGCTAGCAAGATGTTTAACTATTTGTTTGTCTATGTCACCATTTCTTTCATTGTGCTGAAGGTTTTCAATTCGATGCAATGACAGCTAGTTTACATTTCCAGTGCTAGGTGTGGTATTTAGGGCCTGTCAAATGAGACAAAGGATTCTACCACTTAGCCAAAAGCAGAGCTTAATTCTTGCTATTATTTTATGAGCTATTTAAATTCTATTTAAGTCACTTCTGTAAGTATGGTTTCCTTCATTTTCTCTATTACTTGCAAAGCTCTATTAAGACTAATAAGGAAACAAGCTGAGGCTCAAAGTGGTACATTGCTAGCCTTGCACAGAAGAGGTCAAGGAAAGCTCCCTGGCCCTGAGTTCAAGCCTCAAAACCGACAAAAAGAAAAGAAAAATTGTTTTAAAAAGAATTGATTAATTTTTATTTTAAAAATATAGAGTCTAGATTTAATATTTCACTCATGGATACCCA